ACGGCGCGCACGCCACGGCACGCACGCCACGCACGCCACGCACGGCCCGCCTCTTCTCCCTCACTGATCTGTCTCGGAGAAGGCGGTTCGCACCATTGGTGTAGCAGTTGACGTGGATTAAGGCCTTTGGCTGGACTCAGGAGAAGCCAGTGTTTTGTTCTCGTCACCTAGCAGGAGCACAGTGAGCTCCACGTTGTCATTAGCCATGGAGTGATGCGCGGGAGTAGCATTTGGGGAGGAAACCGCATGAGAGAAAAAGTAGGAACACGAAGATGACTTCTGGGAGAAGAGGCGCCCACACCGTTGTGAGAACTGTGCTGTCAAGGAACGGAATCCAGGGGTCTTGGTGACATTTAGAAGGAGAAAGCCATCCTCGTGGACTGGGGCCGTCCCGCAGCCATGGTTCCATTGAATTCTTCCGGGTACGTCAGAAATGTTTGGTTTAAATGTTCCTTTAACCACAGTGACCCCAGAAACTGAAGACAAATGGAAAATGCTTTCTGGATGTTGCAAATCCCAAACTTTAAGAAAATGGCTTAAATATATTTTCCCCACCCTCCGCAGGCAGCTGTTTCCTCTTACATAAGCATGTTTCACATAGCTCGGTTCCAAAGAGAGTGTCCTCACACCTCGGGCTTTCCTAGCTTCCTATGTATTGGCTGTTAGAAAGCAGGTTTCCCTAAAGAAGAGACACTGTGTTGGTTTCTGAAGTAAAAGTCATGGAGCAGCTATTTGAGAACAGGAGTGCTCTTTTGGAGATGTCTTAGGAAATACTGTAGCATCTTTCCTGTCTTATGAAAGAAAAAGAAAAATGCTGTGTCTTAGACCTTGGCTGTATTTTCTTGGCTTTCTCTAGCAAACCCACTCCACACTGACAAATACCACATCTCTCTTGACAGGCTAGTTCACAGATAACCATTCATTTGTAGCTGCGGACTGTTGTAACAGTCCTTATTTGTTACTTCATCTTGTGAACAAGAATTCGGTTTAGATCCGAGAAAGATGCTAACATGACAAGTCCACTCACTGCTCTTTGCAGATCTCTCCCTCTGAGAAAAGATTGTTGTAAAATTTTCAATGGATTCTGAAAGCACTGAAATATTTACTGTTGCCAAAACTCAAATGGGGAATATCCTGGGAAATAATTTGATTTTGAAGTTTTGGATGCATTTCATTGTTGATAATTTCAGTGCTTCTTAGCAAGTTTATCAGTGATTATTTTCATTTCTTCTGTTTGGAGGCTGCTTTTTTATATGGCCATTTCCTAGGTTATTGGTTTAACCTCATTTTCTTGGCAATGCTACTAGAGTCATTTCTGTTTGTTTTTTAATGAACTTTTTATTTTTTACCCATGCTGAGGATTGAACCTTGCAAGTGCTTTACCTCTGAGCTACATCTCCTGTCTCTTGTCACTTGCTCACTCTCTCTCTCCCTCCCTCCCTCCCCTTCTCTCTGTCTTTCTTTGTTTCTCTTATTTCTTTCAATACAGGGTCTCAGTAAGTTGCCCAGGTTGTCCTCAAACTTGCAATCCTTCTGACTTAGCCTCCCTAACACCTGGATTGCAGGTGTGTGCCCCCACATCTGGCTCTATAATGAACTTTTGTAGTTAAGCTTCTGGCTCAGAAAGTCTAATAGAAAGGTAGATGAATTATTCTGATTCTACTTTATAAGAAAAAAATAAATCACAGATGGAAGACATTTCTTTGCAAAGGATGGATGATTTGGTGACTAGACCCTCGGCGGTCTCTTGAGATTTTTCTCTTGGCATATCTTTCCACACCCAAATGTATCCCTTGGCATTTTGGAAAGCAGAAGAAGAAGTGCTCCTGAGCCCCAGACTTGTCTGGCACTTGTGGAGGTGCCCAGGTAGAACCAAAGTTTAGTTACAGCTGTTGCCTTATGTGCTGAAGCAGCAGGTCCCACCTTGAGAAATGTCTGTTAAATTTCACAGTCCTGTATTGTTGGCATCTGTCCCCCACCCCGTTTTATAGCTGAGACATTTTTAGTCATTTTTGAGTAATCATGTATATTTGAGTAGTAATTGAATTACTTGTTGGTAGCTCTGCATAACAATCAGCCTTAGGTAGTTAAAAATATTAACTAAAGTTCCTGGTCAGATCAGTGAACTGCCAGGGTCTTGCCTAGTAAACTTGTGAGGTCTCATCTAGTAAAATTATCTCCATGGAATGAGGTGACTAGGGCTCATTTATCTAGGAGAGAGATATATTTCAGAAGAATTCCTCTGTCAGAAAATATCACCTTAAGTAATGAAACTGCATGTAGTCCTGTCTAATTTCATTAATTCTTTGTCACAGGATTCAGATTCTAAAAAGTGGGTCTTGAGCCATACTGACTGCAAATCATTACATGCATGAACCAGTTTTTCTTTTCTTAGTTGCTGAGAATTTTCTATGAATAGAACCTCATTGTTGGGATGAAATGATAGTATCCACTGGTAGAATTGTTATAATCACTAGAGACAGATGCATTAATGTTTGTACAGAGGGGTTGGGTGGATTGAGACAAGAGCTAATTGGACATAAAATGTATTAAATGTTTTATTTTGGCATTTAAATCTGCTTAAGATACTGTAGCAAGGATGACTTTTTCTCTAGCTGTGGGCACTTTCACATTATACAAAACCTTTGCTTACTCAGAACAAATAGCTCTTCTGACAGGCTACGTTTACCTTGATCCACCTGATGGGGACTTTTTGAGGTTAGGTGAAGGGCTTTTCTAACCTGTAAGTCACAAAGGCCTATAGTTCTTAAATTTTGCCGTGCAAAACAATCACCTGTGGTGCTTATTATAAATACCAATTCTCAGGTACTTGTCTCTCGCCCCAATCTAGGTTATTATTCATTAGTTCTAGGGTGGACTTCAGGAACCTGCATTCTGGATGAAGGCCAGGTCATTTGGTCAGGTAATTCAGAAACACCTTGGAAACATTGTAGTTCTGTTTTGTTGCTTTATTCTTTCACAGTGTCATCACAGGGAAAAATGATCCCTAACACTCTTTGTCCATGTCACAGTCATCTAGTTATATGATAAATCATCCATGCAGAATTTTAATTCTAGACTTCTATTTAATGACTGATATGACCTGTTGTCCCCATTATTAATAGAGTGACTAAGTTCTTCTAAAAGGTATTGTTTCTAAGACTGTCTCAAATTTTCAGTGTTTCAGATCTTACAAAGCATTTCATATATACCCAGAATTTCATTGATCTGCGAAAGGTATATCCATACTATACTGCTGTTTCAATGATGTGTGTACGATTATAAATTGATTAAAAACTAAGGACTTCTTTCTGTGGCTTGAGTAGTCACCATTAGCATCTTTCTGCCTGCATTGTGTTTATGATCTTAACTCCTAAGGGATTGGATCGGCACCAAGGCTCCCTTTCCCCCAGCCTTGCTTACAAATAGAAAGGAAGGAAGAAAGGAAGGAAGGAAGGGAGGAAGGAAGGGAGGACACATCTTCATAGCAGACTGAAAGTAAGCTGGAAATATGTGCTTGAGAACTGGATGCTTGCAATTGCAAATGATGGTAGTTACCTTGCCTTGTTTCCACAAAGACTCCTTTGACTTGGGTGACCTTAGGCAAAGTAAGAGATCTGAATTCCGTGGACAGAACAGTCCCTCTCCTGTACCAGGACGTATCCTGGCCTGAAGAAGGTGCTGTTTCCCAGGAAAAGCACTGAAATCCCCCCAAGAAATGCATAGGGCCATAGTTTGTAGAAAAAGTATTCCTAATAAGCAACTCACTCTACAGTCTGTCTTTCTTTGGTTCTATTCCTCGGGACTTTTATTTATGATAACTTTCATCATCTCTTTTTAAAGGTCAGACATGAATGAGAAAACTTTGTTTGACTTGTTAATCTTGTGACAAACAATTTATACCAAATGTAGCTTCCTGTCTTTGCTGACTAGTTACTTGAGGGAATATTCTCCTATCAGACTGGAAAAAGCTCTAAAAATAAACAGCTTGGTGCTTATTGGTGGGAACATATGGGAGCAGATGTGAGCTTGGAGTAGCATATGGTGACAACATGATAGCAGCATGTGCTCATGAAGACTGGATGTCGGCCTTTGTCTTCCATGCCACACTGGTTGTGCATAGCCCTTTATGTGGATCAGAGGATGTCTTGGCACAATCCACATATGTATGGATATCTGCCACTGAGATCTTGTTAGTGAACTGTATGTTAGAAGTAGTAAGTTACAGGGTATGAGAAAGGCCATCATCCATTTTAAAATTGAGTGACCAGCAGCACAAATACAGCAAAAAATTGAGAGAAGAGTCTGGGAGGCCTTTGCCTTTTGGCAAAGAAGGCTTCAGTTCATGTCAGAAGATACACCCTGTGTAACTAGCAGGTGCAGAGATTCTGAATCCATGCAAGGAACTAGGATAGAAGTGTGCTCCCCTGACAGGCCCTGGAGGCAGGCAGCAGGCGGGCTTCTTCTCATCAGTCAGGCAGCTGAGATGATTACATGTCTCCAACCCTTTCGCTTTGTCAGCCTCTTAAATACAGCATCTCGTTTTAACTTTAACTCTCAGAGGTAACATCATCTCAGACACAGAGGCCTGGTAAACTCAGGGCTTGTGTGAAGATTTCTGAGAAATCAGTGACAGAACAGGGGTTTCCATCCGTGTCTGCTCTTGCAGAAATACCTTTGAACACTCAGCAGTGTTTCCCTTGACCATGAGATACTGTTTCGGTACATTTTCTTCTCTAAGAATAAGGTGGGTAATATCCAAATCTGGTTGCTGTTACTTTAAAGAAAATGAAACTGAGAGTTTCCGTATGTCATGACTCCCCAAAAGATATATTTAATGCATTTTAAAGAGCTCTAGCTTTTGAAACCATAATTAAGTAGCTCCAAACCAATATCCACTTGTATCTTTGACTCATTCAAGAAAGAGTTTTCACATGCGGGTGAAAAATGATGACAGGTGGTTTTAAGAACACTGAAATTTAGACCAGCCAAATCAAATCCAAGTTTTAATCATAACAGGTGGCTGTCTTTCATGAAAGTGGGTCAAGTCCTTTTTTCATCTTTAATGTAAGGTATTTGTACGATTTCAATAAACTGTACATTGGTATTTTTAATGCTGAAGTGTATAAAAGGGAAAATGAATTCAGGAATCTGATTGCGAGGGTGTCAGGAGACCCAGAATATCTTAGTGTCTCGTCGCTTGGCCCTGGGTACCAGGGACCTTGTGTTTTTTGGGGGGATGATAAGAACATTCAGTGAGACTCTCTTATACTTTGAATCTTTGTATAGTGCTGTGCTGGGTATCTCTTCAGTAAAGTAGCTAATTACTGTGCTTTTTAAAACTCCCAGCTGTCTGCCCAGTTGTTACAGCACCTTCTGGCTCAGTGGGCAGCTAGAGCGTCAGACAGTCCCAGGTGCTCTGTTGGTACTTTGGTGAGTACTTTGTCCACTTTATTCCTCATTTGACATGGTGATATCAAGTCCACCTTTAGTATCTGTGCCCAGTGGGCAACTTGTCAGAAGCAAAGTAGGATTCTGAAATGCAGCCCCTTAGCTAAACCGTTACAAATGTCCCTGAAATTTTCTAGGCATAGTTTCATGATGTTGTCATGAAACTTGCAAACTGATGAACAGCTTAGAAGTAATACTATGACTTGAGAGCCGTCTGTGAAAGAATGACTTGAAGCTGTGAGATGTGTGTTCCAGGGGTCATGGAAAGATTTGAAATAGTGATCTGGTTCCTGTTTTCTGGAGGGGTGAACAGGGGAGCCCTCCTATCGGTGGAATGTGTGTTCCTATCGCAAGTATATGGTAGTTGCTTAATTAGTGTTCCTTACACCAAACCAAGAGACATTCTCTTCTTTAAGACCCATGGGAGAATTATGCCCGTGCTGTTACTTGTGACCTTTACATCGACATGTCTGGATCGCACAGATTGTCATGGGTCAGGCCCTCAGCACCCTGGACCTGGGAGCTTTTCAGTCTCTCAAACCACATACACCTGACCTTCTGACCACGTGGGAGCTCTCAGTGCCGGTGCCGCATGTTAGGCTGAGAAGCAGCAAAGCCAGACAGCTCTCCCTCTTTCTGATTTGGAACAGGAGTCCTGCTAGAATTTGTTGAGAACCTGCTGTGTGCTGGACAGTGAGTCCACAGCAAAGCATAGAACCCGAGTGATCCTGCCACTCGAGGAACTCGGTGACTGAGTTATCAGGAAAGAATGAAAACAGGCTTGCTGTCATGTCGCTGTCCCACCACCTCCACCTGTGGCCCTGAGCAGTTGGGTTACATCGATCCTAGAGGAGGAATGGAGATCCTGGACAGGGACGAGGTTTTGTCCCCGCGGAAGCCTGGTTCCCTGGAAACCCCATTCTGCAGTTTACCAAGCCTGACCTTGCTTCTTAGGAATCAGTGTGGTTTATTTACAGTGACCTAAGCTGGGGTTTCCTTAAAACAAAACGGATCAAAACCTGATTCTGCTGAGATTATGCATTTATTTTATTACAGAAAGCCTCCAAGTCGCTTGAAGCTGCTATGTGAACGAAAAGAGTGAAAGGCTGAATCCATGCCTCTAGAGCTCCCTTTTGTGAGTCAGACAGATTGTATTTTGTTTTCAGGCTCTGTGTTTTTATTTGATTTCAGTGTTTAAACCAAGGACTTAAATGTGCACTTTTCCCCTCGTCACTGCCTGGCTGCTGGGAAAGGGACGGAAGAGGGAAGGAGAGAAGGCATTTGTTGAATTCCTGGGCCCCTGCTCCTTAAGTCTCATCCTCCGACCCTCCCTGTCTTGTCTGCTCAGGGAGGGCCAGGATGACCATCCCCGTTTTTCCAGAAGCTGTGGTTTGGAGCGGTAAATACCCCGTCCTTGGTCACAGCGTAGCGAGCAGCGGAGCCAGTGTCTCAGTTCAGGACTGGCCTGGGTCACAGAGACCCCTGACTGGCTCCCCACCCCTTTCTTTCCCGTTCATGTTCTGACCTAGTACTCTGGACCAGTTTCCTTTTCATCCCTTCCTGCCGTAGGAAGCGAGGTGGCCCAGACCGTTGCTGGCTCCCGTGATGGTATTTCTTCTCAGACACTCCTTCCCCACGGAGGCTGGTTTTGACCACTTCACCACCTCACAGCCAGTTTCTCTTTTTGGTATACACACTATCACCCCCTCCCATCCTCAGCAAATCTGAGAAAATCGGGTGTCTCTCCACCGTGTGGAAGGGGAGGTGGCCAGGCCCCCCCATGTGGCCTCCCATGCAGTGGGGTGCTCTCTGCTCTGCCCTGCAGCGGCCAGGCCTGAGGGAAAGCCCCGGGACTCTCACCTTCCATGTGCTGCTCCAGAGCTGTGGGGCTCTGCTTT